GAGTTGGCGCCCCGTGGCTGTGGACATAACGCGCTTCAATTCGAAGACGCGGACGCAGTTGGGCTCTGACGCGGATTTCTACGCCCCAACAAATAATGACGGCATCATCGCGTACGGCTGTGTGATCATTGCGAAGTTTCCCGCCTCCTCCATCGTGGTCCTTCATGCCTTCACGTTCCTTCCATTTCACACCACCCTCGCCGTGGAGCGGTTGTTGAACGCATGCTGGAACTTCTAAATTCATTGAGTAGTAGTGCCCTCGATCGAACGTCAGGCGTATCGATTGGCGCGCCTCGCCAAGGTTCGTGCCCGATTCTCTGATCATTTGAATGTTTAGTTCGAATGACTCACTCTTTTCTTGTTTTCATTCTGATTGGATTTAAATGCTATGGAAGTTTATTCAAATAGCGCTGGTTTTGGTATCAGTTCAATCTTGGTTTGCGACGTAGAAGTGTTGCAGATAGTGTTGCTAGTGTTCTATCTTCATACGCCTCTTTTCCAAGAACTTTATATGGAAGTGCATTTTTCTTAGTCTTCCAAGATTGCGCTCTTTCTTCTATTGTGAGCTATTAACGGTATCCTTTGAAAGTCTGAGTCCACTCATCTTGAAACCCAGCATTTTCAATGATGTTGTTGTAGATATGCTTCTGCCTCAGCTTTATAGGGTCAAATCAGAGTAAACATCGCACCTAAAGAACCTTGAAGAGAAGCAAAAATGCAATAACGCCAATCTTTGATGTTGATGGAGAAGGGAGCGGAGTAGTGGGTAGTAGGTAGGAAATTTAGGGCGCTAGTGTCATCGAGGGGGCTTGTTATGCAGAGAGCTCATACAGCCAACGACTTCTACTGTGGTGGTCTCCTTGGGACTAACCGTACGGAGAGGCTATTAGAAGGGGTGTTAGCAACTCTCATTTTCGATTGTTCGCTCTCCTCTAGGCTTAGTCCGCACAACGATGCTCCATCCGATGACGTCAGCGCCAAATTTAGAACAAATGGTGATGGGGGCATCCTCTATCAGTAGCAGGGTGTAGGAACTTGGGGGACGCTGGAAAGTATTCGCGCCAGTTGAAATCTCTCTCCCTCGTCTAAACTTAGTCCCGATTCCAACGAAAAGGAGATAGTAGCATATGTTTTATTTGTGTCTCAAATCGGCAGCAAAAATTTGAAAAGTATTCATTTATTGCGGATTTCGAATGATTTTGCGAGGAAATACAAGAACAAGAAGAACACTTGTTCTCGTCGTGTTCGCGGTTTAGATAAATATGATGATCATCCTCGATCAGCTAGCCATCATCTATATAGCCCAGTTAACAGCTTGCCGGCAATGGTGAGTGGAAGAAAATGAAGTCAGCTGAATAAAATAAACAGGGGAGCAATCTGTATTGTGGGTATCACAAGAAAACAAAAGTAGAAAAACAAGGGTAGAGTCATTTTTCGAAGGACTGAACACCACTTGTATGCTCCCAGCGGATTTGCGGTCTTTACGGTTCGCTAATTTTCTCTAAGCGCTTGGTGAACAAGGTCGCTCAACCTATTCGCAAGCCTCTTAGGTATTATTCAGAGTTAGCGATGCCACGGTTAGGCCGATGTCAGACTTTGGAGAGTCCAGCGAATCGCTGGACACGAGCGTTGCACGCGATCGAGTGGATTCGCAAAGTTGACATGGCCGGGTGCGAGATTTTGAACTTAGTTAACTTCGTATGCGTATAAGTTATTTCATTGGCCGATGGTTACAGACTTTGCGATTGGAGCGATTTTGCACCAATTGCAGGAGCGACGGATCGCTCAAGCGATGCGAGCGACGGGAGATTTACCCGAGCGGCGCCGTGTGTATCGGTATTCGGCGGGGTAAATCTCCCGTCGCTCGCATCGCTCAAGCGATCCGTCGCTCCTGCAATTGGTGCAAAATCGCTCCAATCGCAAAGTCTGACATCGGCCATGTTGTGCTAAAGTGACGATCGTTCGATGCTCTTCTTTCGCACTAATCGTGATGTATTTCCTTCTCACGCTACTTTATCGTACTTAATTGATATTTGCGGGCTGTCCGATCTGCAAACTATATATATAACTCGTTTTAGGTTTAGCGATTCTTGTTTTTTCCATCATATCTCCCATCAGTTAGTCTAGTGTCATAATGTGTCAGACTCTCTCTGCGCATTGCAATCGGCGCGATGCAGTTCGCTCTTTTTGCTAGGACTGATTTGGCAATCGCTCTTACAAGTTGCAAGCGTCGAAGATTTACCCCCGCAGCACGACCGATACACACGACAGCACTCGGAGTAAATCTCCGAGGTTCGCTCGCACTTTGGGGGCGATGCCAATGCAGCGACTGCAATCGGACAGAGTCTGAACCGTCAGATCTCACGTTCGTTTGTAATGAGAGCGCGGTACCTTCAGCCCTTTACTAAATTAATGTACTGTAGACTTTGCCTAGAATGGGTCGAACAAGAAGAAGTTAAGGACGAGCGAAATTTGGACCGTAGCTAGGCGTGCGATTGGTGTTGCGTGCCGTTGTGGACACACACCTAAACTGCCGACCCCTCACTAAATAAATCCTACCACACTGTTGGATGAGTTTTCGTTGCTTCAGGATGAGCGTCGTTATGTGGGGTGAATCTAGCAGGGCACAATGTCGGAGAAATGGTTCAACTTCGTCAGTGTGTCCACTAAATCAATTGTGCATGTCCTATCCTTGTTTTTAGGATCTTACGTGTTTCTTTTAGATTACTGATTGACAGTGTAACATAGTCAACTGACTGGCTGCAAAACCTCGAGTTTGTGGTGCTCGAATCACGAGTGTTGAATGTGACTGTGTGCAGGCACATCCCATTTGAACGTTGAGGCTATTGAAGACCTTTTTCATGTGACGCACATATTGTATGAGATAATGACTGCGAACAGCTCGGAGCTTACTATCTAAATGAACCTTATACGATGAAAAAACTAAAAGGGAATGTAGTACGCTAATCGTGGCATCAACAATGAATGACTCGGCCGATCAGTGTCGACGACGATTCACGGAACTAAGGATACTTGTTCCACAAGGGTTGCTTTTGTTCTCATAGCAAATCGGTTTGCCGGGAATGTGATTACGGAGCACTTGATGATCATCTTGTCCTAATGGTCGAGTCATAAACGAACCGTTAACTAAAACGACGGAGCCAAAATCTGACCTTTGCATGGGGTACGACTCTTTGGACAAGGCCGAACATGCCTCTAAATGCCACTACGATTCGGTATGGATCGCTTATGAAGCGTATCTCGACGCAAAGCGCCTGCTGTCCTATTATAAACGCCAGTATATGTACATTCCATGCAAGAGCAAGTGTGTAGTAACAGCAGTGTGCCTCTGGGAGAGGGGAGTAGTCTGTCGAAAGGCCACTGAGCTAAGCCTAACGCACAGACGAATTCCGGAGCGAATGAAAAATTGCATACGCAGCTCGGATTCTTTCTCTTCCAAACCTTAGTCCCAGAAGTGAAAATTTCCGTGGATCTGTCGTGTGTTACGAGTTGCTGCCCACCCCCTTCCCCGAGCCACATTGCGCCCAACTTTTGCCTTTTCTTTCGTGTCGCTAGACTCCTAACCGCGCCTAAAGCCTACCCATCTTCCAACAATGCCGAAGGAAGCGCCAAAATCAAGTGATGTTAAAGGGAGGGTCATGGTCCTGCAGCGAACTACGTTCCAAAATCGACAGCCTGCCAAAAAAACTCGTCCTGCATTTTTTCAAGGTGTAGGTTTAGGCGACAGTTTATTTGTTCCCGTCTGGTGTTTAAATATCCTAAAACCAAACATAGGACACGCAAATGACTTAGTACACACACTAAAAGTTAAACCCTTTTCCGCAATCAAGGACATCCACCTAAGCGATGGAAATCCTTTTAATAATTGTATTTAGTGAGGGATTGGCAGTTAGGGTGTGTGTCCGCAACTGCACGCAACACCAATTGCACGCCTAGGTTACGGTGTCCGAAATGTTCGCCGTCCTTAACTTTCGTTCTTGTATGGGTCAACGCTGCCTAGCTGTACGTTACGTACTGTTTGTGTATTGCTTGACTCGATGTGATGAAGTAGCAATAGTGTTTTTGCCTATTTCTCATTTTATTCAATCGCGTTTTTGATTGAAAGATAACTAAGTCAATGTTTATTAGTTATTTATTTAGTAATGGCAGACGTTGCAACTGAATCTGCTCCAGCGCCCGTGAGTTTTTCCAACGTAATTTTGTGATTACACTATCAGTTGTTCACGAATCCTGGTTGACTTGATCGTTGTAGAATTTCAAGCTTATCTCACTTGCAGACAAAACTCGCGATTATAACTGTGTCTGTGAAAGAGTAAGACAGGTAGTAGAGAGGGTAGAGGTGAGGAAAGTGTGGGTCGTTAGGACAGAAAGCGACTTTTTCGCTCTTCGCAAAACTTCCTTGCGGGAGCCCTAGTCCGCCACAGATCATTAATAGACCTAGGGTTTCCGCGACGAAACGTTTAGCTCTGCGAAAAGCCGAAAAGTCCTTCTTTGTATTAACGGCCTAACCAGTAGAATAGGGCTCAAGTAAGTGAAATGTGGCGCTTTTGTGGCAGAAAGTGTCCTATCAAGAAAGCTTGTAGATGCCAAAAAGTTTCGAATGGAATCCGGACATACCGCACACCGTACCCTGGGTATGTTGCGTATAATGGTAACGTATGAAATCACTGCTAATAATATGATTACAAGGGGCAGGCTGAAGCACCGACGGGGGTCGTTGACTCTTCCAAACGGACAGAAGAGGGTGCGGTTTCTCGTGTTTTCCACTACTTTCTTGTTCTTTTCACAGACACAACACGTGGCACCTTAACTTTCTGATTTTCACGATATCGACGAATTGCGAGTTTTGTTGTAAAATGCTTTTGGTTTAGCAACACTAGATTTTCTTCAACTCGAGCTACAGATTTGGGTAAAAATCCTTTGTTTAGGCGGAGACTCCTGCAGCTCCAGCTGAGACTGCTCCTGCTCCTGCTGAATCTATGGAAACCGGTGAAGCTCCTCCGCCTGCAGCTGCTCCCAACACTACAGAGGTGCGCATAGGTCTTTGTTGCTAGTGAAATGAGGACGTATACAGGGGTGGCCAAAAAAAGAGACACTTGACTCCACATTTCAGACAGCATTAATCACACTTTGCTAAAATCAAATCGACTGCCCCCAACTCAGTATTGAAGAGCACATTCTAATCTATCTAAATTACATGACAGCCTTCTACACCGACGACATCAGAAGATTTTCCCACGGAAACATGGTTCACGGTACGAGCTCAACGAGGTCGTCGAGGTACCATAGACCATTACGACGTCCCTGAAACGCTGGTCAAAAGCGGTTTTGCATAGTCACAGCTAATGTCTCTGGGAAGCTATTCACAGTTAATCCATTGAAGAAATTATGTAGCAGCTTCAGGCCGGAGCGATTACGGTAAGCCTCGTTGAGCTCGACGGTGGCGGCAGATGACGTCATATTCTGAAGACGGCGGGGGCAGTGAAGGAGGGCCTGCTTCTGTTTACGGGGGAACACCTAAGGAATATTTCCGTAAAACTTTCATTAACATCGGCACCCTGTGCGACGAAAAGTTCGATGATGTGCGCCATGGGCAAAGTGTCTTTTTTTGGCCACCCATGTATACAGTTGCAAATCAAAGATTTCTTCCGTTCTACCCTCTCCAACGGCCAACAGGTCAAAGTGACTGGTGGCGCATAGTTCGGAAACCAAAGTTGGATCGCATGCAGTCTGGTCAACCAGGCTGTCCATCCTTCTGGGTCCAAAAATCTGGTACCAAACATATTTGTGAGGACAAAAACGATTACGTGACTACTTGAACTCTCCCCTATGTTCTCTGCCGAGAAAGGCCAGAGCACAGACGATTAGAGAACGGCGCCTGGCTCGGCTTCCAAATCCCAACCAAGAAGGTGAGAGCTCTAGGACTAAGCCTTGAAGGGAGGAGGGACTCCGTAGTGGATGAGCCAATTATATTGTGGCAAAGTTTGAATACATAAGATCACAGTAATCATAAAGCGCTGGTTAAGCGAGAGAGCGCAGGCGAGAGCGTCAAATCGAGGCGGTTTAAAGGCTGAGTTCAAGTTGTCCGTAGACCGACAAAAACGCGGACTGTTCCCCACTGTTGCGCAGCCCCATCTCGCACTTCCAGCACTGCACAAGTTGAACTAGCTGAGCTACAAAATTGTGCTGCAAATATTTTACACACTAGACCTATTGCTTGCCAACTATCACTTTTCTAACCATCTGGAAGGTCTACTTAGAGAGATTGAGCATTGAAACCCAACATGGTGGTGAAACGACCTTCGCCGAGTTCTTAGCTCACAGAACTCCAGCACTTCCAACATCCGGATCAGTCAAACTCATTCTTGTAGGCAAAGGTATGGGGATTGTAATAGTTTTTATTTCGAGCAAAGGCGCTTCGTTTGAACCGAGATATGCGGTTTTGAATTTGAGAGTCAAAATCGGCGGGAACTTTCCGGACAACCCAATATTTAAGGAAAGATTGTTGCACTGTTGCTCATTTACAATGTTTCCCACGACTGCCTTACGTGTCGTTTCAGATAGATAAATAAATAAATTACCATATTCATGGCGCACCCTGTAGTTATGAAATATAGTGTTTTTGAGTCCTTGGTGCTGCAGCGAGAATGTGGGTGAGGGCGAGAGGCGGGATAGGGACTACGAAAGCCTATAAGAATTCAGTACATAGTCTTGGACTGACATGTGTGCACCTGTGGATGGAACGTAATTCATAAACGAACTCAAACTTCGAATCATTCGAATGTCATTGCTGCAGTGCATTCGGTCAGCTATGACTGTTCAGGAAAGCGCCCCTGCACCTGCTCCTACTGCGGCTCCTGCTGCAGCTCCGGCTGCTCCAGCAGCTCCAGCTCCTGCACCAGCTGCGCAGCCCACTCCTGCAGCCACGGCCGCTGCTCCACCTGGTGGTACTGTTCTGGCACCGCCCCGTGCAGCACCTGCGATTCCTACTCGACAGTACCTCGATCAAACGGTGGTTCCGATATTGTTGCAGGTAAGTGGTCACAATTTCAACAGTTATTGTTGCTGTTTGCTGTAGGTGTAAGATTTCCTGTTCAGGCGCTGGGAGCACTTGCGAAAGAGCGGCCTGAGAATCCTATCGACTTCTTGATCAACTTCCTCATCAAGGAGAAGGAACGCTACCAGCCATCGACGGAAAATGTCTCTTAATCTTTCTGCTGCCACGTACATGAGTAATGGAAACGAAGCTCCATCGTTGTTACTTTTTTGCTCTGTAGATAATTGAATTCGACAGATCATCTCTTTGTTGTGGCTTTTTAATGTTGCTGTTAAATCATCAAAGGTGAAGATCCTTAAGAGTGATTTGTTCAGCCCAAGTTTTCCTCCTGTTTGTTCATTCTCCTCGTTTATAAATAAAGCTTCATAACTTGCCTGTGTAGTTTGCAATAAACGTGTCCGCAAGGAATCGTTGTATCTTTTGGCGGCCTTAACCTTACAAGTTGCGAATTGTACATGGGATTGTGCTGACCTCCCAGAGGTCTCGTGTTTTATCTCTTGCATGATTGTTTTGCGCACACAATATGCAGCTTGGTTTCGGTACATGTGATTTCTTACGTTACTTGCTCTTTTTTGCTCGATTTGAAGGCATAATCGATTTCCGCATATCAAATGACCAATGTTTAGCGGTAGGAGGTGGAAGACGGTTTTGTTCTGGTTTTAGCACCTCTATGGTATAAAGCTAGTCGCGTCAAGCACTTCAACATTTTCTATAAACATGGTAAAATGGTTCGTGGAATCTCGCCGACACCGCGACTCGACAAAATGAGCAGGTTTTCAACAGTTCACGAAAGTGACGGAGTGCGATGTTGTGAAAAATTACGCGTTTGTGGTAAGCAGTTTGCACCTTGTTCGAGTTTTGAACGGTTAATGAAAGAATATTGAGGAAAACTTCTGTAGAACAAGGACATTATAACCAATCAGCAAAGTGTCCTAAAAGTTGAAAAAAGTAGACTAGCAAGAGTTAGGCTTATGTTGTTTATGATTCTTGCTATCCACCCTTAGACGAACGCAAAGTATTGG